AGAGAGAGAGAGAGAGAGAGGAGAGAGAGAGAGAGAGAGAGAGAGAGAGAGAGAGAGAGAGAGAGAGAGAGAGAGAGAGAGGTGGGATGGAGAAGAGAATGAGGGAGGAGCGAGGGAGGAGGGAGGAGCGGAACAGAAGGACGGAGGGCGGAACAGGGAACAGGGAAGGAGAAGGGAGGGAGAGGGGGAAGTCAATGAGGTTGTCGGATCTGCCATATTGGATGCCCACGCGGGCCTGCGCCTGGCTTGTCGCCGTTTGGCGGGGAGCAGGGCTCTTGGAAGACGCCCCTGGAGGAGGCGGAGCGGCCTCCTGGGCGGCGAACCCCCGTGGGTCGCGCCCTGCGTCGACGAGGTCCGTGGCGGGCCGCCAGCGGCCCTCCGCCTCGGACCACCACTCGATGAGCTCGAGCGGGGGGCGCTGCAAAAGAACGACCTCCTGGTCCTTGGCCGCGTAGCCGCGCACCACCTGAAGGCACTGGCGGATGTACGCGCTGTCGCCTGCGGCGTCGTTGAGGTACTTGCCTGCCGAACGGTAGCTCGTCAGGTCAACGACCGTGACACCGTCCATCTCCATCGGGAAACGGACCAACCAGTTGGAGTACAAGTGGGCCCGCTCGTTGCGAAGGGACCAAGCCTTCGGCAAGCGCATCGTCGCGCGCAGGGAGCACGACGGCTGCGCGGGGTCGTTGCCGAAGGCGACCGACTGAAGCAGGAGGGCGCGGAACTCGCCGTGGCTGAAGCAGCCGAAGTCCTTTGGTTGGCGCAGCGCCACTGGCTTTTCGCCGCGCCGAAGGACCCTGTACAGCCACTTGTTGTCGTTGAGGTGCGCGCACGGCTCCGTCGCGGCGCTTTTGAACGACTCCGCGGGCCCCGTATCGGAGCCCATGTGGACGTTCAGAATGCCCTAGCGGATCTCGGAACTTCGGACTTCGAACTTCGAATTTCGGACTTCGGACGTCGGGATTCGAAGTTCGAACTTTGAACTTCGAACTTCGAGCTTCGAACTTTGCGGGCCCCCCAGGAAGGTAGAGGGAGGACGAGGGGGAGGGGGGGGGGGAGGAGAACGGCGGGGAGGAGGGAGGGAGGGGGAAGGGCGAAGGAGGGAGGACGGAGGACGGAACACGGAGCAGGGAAGGAGAAGGGAGGGAGGAGAGAAGACAACGAGATTTTCAAATCTCCCACGTTGGACGCCCGAACGGGCCTGCGCCTGGCTTCTCGCCGATACGCGCAGCGCTGACCGCAGCGGCCGCGGCGCGGCCTTCTGTGGCGGCGGCTGCGGCGGCGAGGCGGCCTCAGTGGAGCCGCGGGTCGGCGACCTGAGCGCGGGCGCCGCTGAGTGGGGCCGCGGCGGCGGCTGCGCCCTGGCCCAGGCCTGGGCCCGCAGGAGCCATGGTCGCGGCCTCTTCTCGCGGCGGGCTCCCGCTTCTCGTGGCCGCGGCCAGATGCGGCGGAGTTCGCCAGGAGGAGGAAGTCTCCTGGAACAGCGACTGACTCCGACCCTTCCTTCTAGTCCCTCCCCGTTCGTTGTCCTCCCTTCCTCCTCCTCCCTCTCTTTCCTCCTCCCTCCTCCTCCTCCTTCCTCCTCCTCCTCCTCCTCTCCTTCCTTTCCAGCCCTCCAGCTTGGGGGGGGGGGCGCCCTTGTCGCGCCGACTGGCTCATCGCCGCTTGACCCCCTTCCCGGCTTGTCGCCGAACGCCCCCCCGCCTGCGCGTCGTGGCCCGTGCAGCGCCTGAAAAGGGCCGCGCACGTCACGGGGCCCCTGTGGAACGACTGGTTGCAGTGAACCAGCACGTCCCCTCCGCGGCGGAGAACCTCGAGGATCCCCGGCGTCTCCCTGTCGAGCACGCGGTTGTTCGCGAGCTCGTTGCCGCGGGCGTCCACCACGACCCACTGACCCACCTGGCTTTTCGCCGTGCGTGGGTAGTGGTAGGGCTGCCTGTCGTGCGTGGCGTTGACGACCGCCTGCACGTTGCTGAGCTCCCCGTCCGACCAGTAGCTCTCCGCCTCCAACTGGCACCGCTCCGCCAGGATGAAGGAGCCCAGCAGGGTGCTGGCGCCGCCCAGGCACTGAGCGGGCACCACAGTGGGCGCCTGACGCCCGAGGCGCTGCATGGCCCGAACTGGCTTTTCGCCGTCTCGCCGCGTCAGGCGCGCCTGCTTGGGCCACAACGGCTAGGGTCGGCCGTCTCCGTTCTCTTCCTCCCGCTCCCCCGCCCGCCCCCATCCCCCCAGGAAGGAGGGGGGAGGAGGGATGGAAGTGAAAGCCCTGCCGCGGAACGCGGAAAAGAGAGACGACGATGAGAGGAGGAGTACAAGAGCGAGACACGGGGAAGGAACCGATGGTGGTACGAGGAACTGAAGGAGGAACAATGAAGGGAACAGAAGAGGGAGGGAGAGACGGGAGGAGAAGGATATCAGCGAGAACAGAATGAGGGAGGGGGAGAGAATGGTGAACAGGGAGGGAGGAAGGAGGAGGGGGGGGAGGAGGGAGGGAGGGAGGAGACAGGAGAGGGAGGAGGGAGGAGAAGGGACTGACAGAGAGAGGGAGGGAGGAGGGAGGGAGGAGGAAGGAGGAGGGAGGGAGCAGGGATGGGGGGGGAAGGAGGAGGGAGGGAGGGAGGAGGGAGGGAGGGAGGAGGGAGGGAGGGAGGAGGAAGGAGGAGGGAGCAGGGAGGAGGGAGGCAGGAGGAGGAAGGAGGGAGGGAGGGAGGAGGGAGGGAGGGAGGAGAAGGGACTCACTGAGGGCGGAGGTCGGACATCCTACAATACTGTCACGCGACAACGCCTATCGACACTCCTGGAATCCAGCCATGGCTCGGGCGCTAGCTGCGCGCCCACGTATCCATATCGCGCGCGGCTGTAATTGCAACATGTATCCACTAACGTGATAAAACGCAGGTAAATAATCAGTGGCTCTACATAACATGTCTCCATGGGCGACACTCCACCCCTGGGTACGGATTACTGGCCTCATTTGCCTGGGTACGTTTTACTGGTCTGATGTTGCCTCGCTACTGTCTGTAGCAGCTGGAACTTTTTGACGTGGAGCTCGAGACCGTAGGCCTGACCGGCCTTGGAGATTGCTTGGACAAACTCTTGGACGCGCGCGGTAGCTGCCCCCACTACCAGCGCGTCGTCGGCGCAGGCGATGTCTGCCAGGTTCCCAGATATGTACGCCGCGGACGCGCCTGGAGAGAGCAGGGCCACCGCGTCCTCCACCATGCAAGACATCACAGTGATGAACAGTAGCGGGCTCAGCGTGCATCCTTGCGAGATGCCAGACCGCTGCGGCCGTCTCTCTGACGTAAACCCCATGTCTTCGACGTAGAATTGTCTGCCGTTCATGATACTTCGCAGCAGCCTGATGCACTTGCCGGCGATGCCCTTCCTCTGCAAAGCTGAAAGCATGCTATCGACGTTGATGCTATCGAACGCCTTACGCCAATCGAGTGCTAGCAGCGAGACAGAGCCGCCTTTCTGGGCCCGTGCAAATTCCATGCGTCTCCGGGCGAGGAATATGGCGTCTTCCGTGTACCGTTTCGCCCGGAAGCCGAACTGCGTCGGCCATATTCCATCGTCGAGCCCTGCGTCAAGAAAGCGTTGCTTGAGCATGCTGGCAGAGGCGCGGTATGCCACGCAAGACAAGCAGATCGGCCTGTACTTGTCCAAACATCCTGGGTCATTCTTCTTGAACACCATGGCTACTTTGGCGATCACCCATTCCTGGGGCACCTGCTCGAGAAGGAGACACATGTTCACGACGTCAAGCAAGGGCTGGGGGTCCTCCCCAGCGGCCGCCGCCAGGACCGTAAGGAGTTCGATCAGGGCGTCGTCGGGCTTCACACGTCTTCCGCTGGCCATTCTGTTGATCGCCTTGCGGAGTTCTGTAGATGAAAAATTCCCGTCGCGAATATCAAATGGGCTGCAGGTCGCTTCTGGTGCGTCGTCCAACACGGACACCGGGCGCACGTGCCACTGCACGGTCTCCAGATATTTTGCAAAGGTTGCCGCCCTGTCCTCGGTCCCGACCGGCGCCTCGCCCTCCTGCTGCAGCCTCGTCTGCGCGACTTTCCGGCCGCGGCGGAGCCGTGTGAGAGATGCCCAAGTGCCCTGCGAAGCCATGTCCTGGAACCAGCGCGCCCGGTCCTGGCGAGCGGATTTCTTAATCTCCTTGGCTGCCCCCTTTTCGGTCTCAGCGTCTGCCAGCTGTCTGCGCCGGGCCCCGCGTTCGATGAGCCCCAGGGTTGCGTCGCTGATCCAGGGTCTACGTTTGCTGCGCGAGATCTCTGGGATTACCTCGCTGGCCGATGTCACCAAATTGGATCTCGATCTCTCCCACGACGCGTTCAAACATGGCCGTTCTTCTGCTGTCTCGTCGCGTCGAAGAGATGAAACGCAATGTAGACATGCATCCCTCACCCGTGTCTCAGGCAACGCAGAAAAATCGTACTTTGGCCGGCTCGCTGGCCTGATCCGTCGCGCCTGCTCCACACACAGGCTGACAATCACTGGGAAGTGATGGGTTGACATCGCAGCCAAAGGGTCGCCATGCAAATACCGAACTTTCCACATGGAGTCGACCGGAACGAGGACAATATCCAACATAGAAAACGTAGTCTCGGTAACCGGGGACGCCGGCGTGGAGCCAACCTCGTAGTAGGTCACCTGCTGGCTGGGCTCGTTCGGCACGAATGCGCGCGCGATTGCGCATCGCCGGCTGACACGCAACTCCATCAGCAGGTCTCTGTTGGGTACTTCCACTGATTGTTGCGCCTCCCGGCCGAAAGTATAATCGCCAACATAGTCTTCCTCGCCCGGCCGTCGACGACCCAATCGAGCGTTCATGTCTCCAATGATGCACTGCTCTCCGCTGACCTTACCTTTGTCCGGGCGCGTCTCCAGCGCGTCGTAAAACGCCAAGCGCTCTTCGAGAGGGCGGCGGTAATGCGGAGCATATGTCCCAATGATCGCAATACTTCCTCCGAGTGTCTTCACGCGAACGCTTCCCACCCGCTCTGATGATGGAGTGAAGCCCAGAACCCTGCGGTGAAACCGTCCTGATGCGATAAACCCTACGCCAGCCCACCATTTCTCTCCGGTGCTGGAGCCCGAAAGATAAAAATGATGTCCGGACTCCCACTGAAAATAATCAGACTTTAGCCGCCGAGTCTCTTGGAAAATTGTTACGTCGAGTGAGTTCGAATTCATGCGCGAGCAAACCTGCTCAATTTTGATATCTGTCAGACCTCCCACGTTCCATGTGCATATGTTTATGCACTCGCAAATGCCAGCAAAATGCATGGAATTTGCTTTGTCCATGGGCTGCCGCACGTCCTACTGGCCCTTGCCCGGTCGAGCTTCTCCTGCGTCGTGGTTATGAGGCGGGCGAGCTCTGGAGAAGACTGAAGCTCTTCCTAGCGCTGCCACTCCCCGCTGCACCATTGCAGCGTCAAGGTGTGGTCGACCACCTTTGCCTTCACGACGCCCGCCCCTGTCACGGTGATGCAGAGAGACTCCATCATCACAGCCACCCGCCAAGCTCCGGCGGGGTCGCCAGGAAAACAATCGGCTAAAATGGATCAGCCGCTCAACATCCGCACCGCCGAGCCCGCCCTGTTCGCATTCAAACGCATCTTGGTGGATTTGGGGCACGGCCGAAGGGGGGTGGAGGTGGACACGACCAGCCGGATGGGTTCCCCCCACACACCGCAATGATGGGAAGCCCACGCTTAGACTGCTGGGAGGGAGGAGGGAGGAGGAGGAGCGAGAGGAGGAGGAGGAGCCATGACCAGACTTGAGAACGAGACGAGGGCAAGCGCAAAAGAGCACGAGACGAGAAGAGGGCAAGTCGATCCGTCAATCCATTATCGATCTGATTGCAATGACCTCTCTCGCTGCGAGAAAACGGAGTGCCTGAGCACAAAACCGCGCATGGAACGCGAATCGAGCAGCGCAAGGCCTTGTTGCCTCACTGGCACGCCGCTGTAGGAAAACAGCGTGCAACCCATCGACCGCCAGGGCAGTCGAGACGAAGACAGACGAGCCATCCTCGAGACAGGCCGATGAGATAATAAAAGCAGAATGGGGATCGTCGCCCACATTGGATGGAAGAGCAAGCAGAGAGGCACGGACTAAAGGAAGCATACACGGGCACGACATGCAATGTGGAATCTCATCACCACCTACAGCATAGCAGCCAAACTTCTATCTGGCGACAATTTCGGAAACGGCGCGAAGTGGCCGAAGCATTTGCCATGGCTGTTGTGACCGAGGAAGCTATACAAGAGCCTAGTTTCTTGCCGATCAAGACGCCCCTGGACCTGGCAAGGTCCGCCTGGGAACGATCGGTCGGAATCCAGCAATTCAGTCCAGCACAGAAGGCAGGGGAAGGCGAGAGAGCAGGGAAGAGACGCAATAATTCGCGAGCGATCTTGCTTTGTAACCCAGGACAAAAAGCAGAGGGAACCGATGGGGACAACGAGAAGCGAGTCGAAGTTCTTCAGCATGCTGACGAACACCGAGGACTGATGCGTAGGCGAGAGCTGGCAGAACAACCACATTCACTCTCATGCTGGAATGTATTTATGCATCGCTCGTAATCGGTCGATCATGATTCATAATCGGGTTATCGGGCGGCGGGAGCCAGCTCAGAAAACGCAGTAGACGCACCAGAAGTAGTCCTTGCAGGAGCGCCCTGGGGCAGCGAAACCCCCCCGCCCGCCCCCCCCGGAACCGATCGAAATCATCGAAAGAGCTCGCAAAGAACGGGCCGAACGTGCACGCGACGAAATCAAACGTCTCCTCCGAGAAACGGCGCCTCGAGGATAGGGCGCAAAGACTCTCCCGGAGCTCCACAGGCAGGTCGGCAATCCTCTGAGCGACGCCACCAGGTGGCGCAACCGTCTTCGGCAACAATACCTTCGAGACACCACGGTGAACAGCTCCGCCCTGAGAGACCACCTGCAGGGGCGAAGGGGACTTAGCCGAGTGGACTTCGAGGGGGGCGAACCTCCTCCCGGGCAACCGCCTCCCTGGACGCCCGCGCGCACCAGTTTAGAGCTCGGCGAACTATCGAGACCCCGGCGCACTGAAAAGCGCTGGCGCCCAATCCTAGTTCCAGCGCGCCCCCCACCAGGCGCCCGCTCTGCTGAGAGACCACGGGCGGGATCGAAAAGGACCTGGGCGAGTGGACTTCGGAGGGGGCCGCGCCACCCTCCAGGCAACCGCCTTCCTGGGAGACCACTTGCAGCGGCGAAGAGGTCTTGGTCGAGTGGACTTCGGAGGGGAAGAAGCCACCCTCCAGGCAACCCACAGGCTGCCCCTGCTGGCTCGGCAGATCGGCGAGATCCTTGCGCTCTGAAGCGCGACGCAGCCCAATTGTGGCCTCGAGCCCATCGCGTGGGACACCAATCTCAGCCTCGAAAGAAGCGCACGCAGCGCGGACAGGCTTCTCCACCAACCCGCCCAAGTCAGCACCGATGGCAGCCGCGCGGTCACCCGCGAGCTTCTTGATGTCATCCACCAGAACCTGTTGAAAGGCCCTCAATTTCCCAGGAAGCCCCCTGTCAATGGCCTGATCCACGGCTGCGCCGAGACAACTCTACAGCAGCTGCACGCTCCGCTCGAGCAGTCGCGTCTCCTCCTCGACCTGGGCGCGAGGTGCAATGGCAGTGAGCTTCGGCAGCGCCACCTCACGGAGTTGCCCAACTCCCGCGCCTCCTCTGGTGACGCGATGGTAAGATTCTGGGACTCAATCAACGCCTCCTCTGGTGACGGACCTTGAGGCTGCCGCCCGATCATATCGTTTGCAACGAAAAACACTCGCGAGCCATAGGAGGGCACTCAGCAGCTTGCCCTGGCTGGTCAGGTCGGTCAGGCGCGCGCCCACCGCAGCGGCGGGCGAGACGCGGGGGGGCCATCGCAGAGGACTGCACCGACCTGCCCCCCATAACCAAAATATTGGGAAGGGCAGACCAGGGGAGGTGCCGGTCAACAGAGCGCGCAGAGGCGCCCAAAACGTTCGAAGTGGGCCTCGACCAGCCAGTGGCCAGGACCGGCGGGGCGAATACCGCGGCATCCGAACGCAGCGCGGCAGTCGGAGGACGTGTCGGAAAAGAAACAGACGAAGGAGACAGGCTCTTTGAGCGATCCCCCCTGGCCCACATGCGAAAAGAAAAATGAGGGAAATCAACGGTGCTGAGCCGTCAGAACAAAATAATTCACCATTCGACAGAGGGCGTATAGCGCATGGCATTCATGCAAAATTTCGATCGCAGACGCTGTCGAAGGAAACTCTCTGCCAGCTGCCTGAACAATACTCCAGTGAACAACAATAGCCACATATGCCAAGCAACAGCGAACAATGATAGTAAGCAGCACAGCACCGAACCTTAGGCTCCAAAAACAACCGAACACACGAGGACATCCTTGCCTAAGACAACGCGGGGCGCAGCGCATGAGGCAAGCCGTGCATGAACCAAAATGGCTATATACATAGATATATAGGTACACATAAATATGGCCAATAAAACAGACGTGTGAATTCATCAGACTTCAGGGCGGCGCGACATTGGGAGGCGCGGGCATGGCGCGACGAACTCCGAGCCGAGAAGCCGATGCCAAACGAGGTCGCATCCCACACCATAGCACTGGTGAAGGAATAGCGCGGCGCACACGGCAACTGCTGGAGCGCCTCGCCCCCACTGCTATGCGGGCAGCAGGGCCCTGGACATACTGAGCAACATGCTGGACCGCAGGCTGGCAGTAGATGTCGCGCAGGCGACAATTCCCCGCGAGCCCCAGGCACAGCGATTCGACGCACCTGGGGCGTCTCATTAGGGAGTGGAGAGGGGCAGCCGGGGACTTAGCTCACCCGCGACGCCCAAGAAAACACCGCGGTAAAGACCGACGCGACCGATTTTTGCCTGCGACGCCCCGAGTTCCATCCCCCGACAATCCTGGCGCAAGAACTCCTCCGCAGTAGGAGGCCCAATGCAAATTGACATTTCTTCGCGCGCAAGAAGAAACCGGTAGCGCGGGTGAGACCGACGTAATGACCAGACATGATTATGCGTGCCTCGGCAAGACTGAAGGTAGCCATCCCGCCTGTCGGCGCGCGCGCGCGGATGGGCACGGACGGGGGCGAG